ATGAGCAAGAAGACAAGTAATGCACTCACAAAGCGTGCATATAGACAGTACAGCAAGGGAATGCCTACAAAGCGACCGAAGTACTACGAAACAAATTGTACAACCCAATATGTGCACGCAAGACATGAAACTCTGCAGTATGCGGGCTGCCACTGCTGATCTTCGCTGAGTAAGTTGACTTTCGATGTGAGTAAGCGCCCAGCGTTGCAGCTGTTCGAGATATCAGCAGCACGGCTTTGTTTCAGCAAATTCTGGCACACTTAGAGTTTCGGGACCAGATTCGGGTTGCTCGTCTTTGCTATTGCAGTTCTGATATCAGGAGCACACTACACATCCTCGAGGAGGTGCTAAAAACACTCTGTGGCTCAGCGGAAGTAGATGTTGCAGAACCCTGAGGAGGCAGCAAAAACACAACTCCAAAAATGCCTACCCTGGACAAGGCGGACCAAGCCTCTTTTCTGATGTCATACGCAGCCTTGGGCTTTTCGCAGGTGACATCCGGGCAGGAGATTCTCATGGAGAGCATCCTTGGACCACAACGCACACACCACCAGATCCGACCGATGGATCACGCATCGCGCCCAGCAGCTTGAAAGATCTTATATCAGCACACGTCCACAGTTTTAAACTGCGAATGAAAACTCCCAGGCTTGAGGAATCATAGGGTTCAGGATTCGTAGGAGTTGGGGCTCAGAGGATCTTGGATTCATAAAAACCTGGGACTCACAGAACTCAGGGTTTGGGATTCAGAATTCATCGGATTTGGGGACTCATAGGGTCCAAATGAGGGTTCGTATGACACAGGATTCAGAAAGTTTTTCTAGGGGCTCGTAGGATGATAGTAGAACTTAAGATTCGTGGAGTTAAAGGCTCACAAGATTTAGGCCGTACACTGTGCGCAGCAGAGTTACGAGGCGTTGTGGTGCGGGCTGCGCCCGCTCCAATCAACCACAACCTGAGCTTGGGAGCGCTGCAAGTTTGAGGATTTTTCGAACGAGAGCGACTTGTAGTGCATCGATGCGGAGCACCATGCGTCGTCGATACGGCTTTCGATGCGATCTTCGGCGCGAGGACATGTGGATCAATCCCGAGATGAAGCAAAAAGATGATTGACGACAAGCTCGCGTCGATACACGCTTCGATGCGATTGTTGAGTGCTTTGTGTTGGAGAGAGCACGGAGGGAACAGGGACGAACGGTGACCAAGGGAAAGCCATGATAACCCCGAACTGTGTACCAACTGCAGTCCTCACCCTGCACAAGCTAAACCGGAACCCCAAGGACCGCGACAGTGCCGTACTGGCTGAACAGCCAGAACCCCTGGGCCAAGCTGCCATCAAGCACTCCTCCACCTTCAGCCTTGGCGATCGGCTACTGGCATGGGTCCTGCCTTTACGAAGGCCTCAAAATAACTCAATTCTGAACTCCTTGAACCTACCCTAAAGTTGCAGAAGCAACCGGCACAAGGCTGAGGACACCGAGTGGCACCACCAGCAAGGCCTCGGTCATCTTGGACATCACGAAGTTCCTAAGCAAGGCGCAAACAGCTGCAGCATTCTGACGTGGGATTTGGAGTCTATCGAGGGTGTCAGGGTTTCTGGGCTGATGCTTGGAGGCTCTGATCCAGATTCAACGTCGGACCGTTTAGGGGCTCACATCTGTCAGTCAACACAGCAGGCTTCACAAAGGGCATGCCCATGTATGCATGTAAAGTACTGTAGCTTGTTGGTTGTTCTGGTCTCTCGATTGTTCGCCTGACTTGAGGATACAAGCAAGGACGGGCGCGGGCCTGTGTCGACCTCATGTTTCAAACCTCTTCTTCACAAACTTTCAACAAAGAAGAGTCAAGGTTTAGAATGGTCAAGACTCACGACGTCCATCTTGAACGCCAGTGGAACTCCTCCCGATTCCACCTTGCACTGAAAAGATGCGCAGCTGTAGATCACCATGCAGCCCTCGACATGGTTTGCCCATTAAACCGTTAAACCGTTAAACATGTAACATGCATGGCTGGCCTGCGTGTTCTTGTACCTCTTCTCTACCTGTCAATCTGAGCACGCAATCTACGGCAAACGTGCAATCAATCAAAGGTATGCATGCCAACTTCAACCGTCTCCCTCTTTCACGGCCTCATCTTCGTTGAGCTTGAAGCTAAGGTACAGGAACGGCCTCTCAGCTGCGCGCAGGTATTAGGCAAAAACAACAAATGGGAGGTACCTACGATCTGACGTGGTCAGGTATACGTATATACCCTTGAAGGACTTTGTAGACCAAGTATACCTGGGGATGGCGGCGTGGCATGGCGTGACATGGCGTGAGACTCTTCGCAAGGTCAGCTTGAACGGGTGTGACTCACATTTCTTACAGCAAATCGGCTGGCGCTTATCGAGCCTGATGTTCTTGCTCGGCAGAACCTCGCGCAGATACGTTGGCACGCTGTGGTCGAACAACGTGGAGACCTGTGCCAGCATGAACGGAACGGTCTCATGCTCAATTTCTCCTGGGAAACAGACACATTCGGGGCTGCGTTTTGACCACAATCAGAACTGCATCACGGATGAACCTAACAACTTCTACATGCTGAAGGAACCTGCTCGAAGATCTTGAGTTCGTCCTCCGGCGTTTCCACCCTCCTTACGTGAAAGGAGCCGCTTGAAAGAACACAATGAAGATCGGCACTTATAAAGGATGTCAGGGCCGTATTCGGCCGGCATCTCTTTTGATCGGGGCGTTTGCAGGGCGCACAAAAACGTGCAAGAATAGTGCCAGCGTACATCCACCCCACAGGGCAATCTAAGCCGTCCCGTGTCACCCGAGCTTTCAATTCCTATGTCAGCCAACTTGTGCCGACTTGTGCCAACCTTGCAGTCTGCAAGCTAAAGGGAGCTCCATGTGCCCAACCTCACGCCGAAACGTGGTTTTGGCTAAGGCTGGCACCAAACAGCGTCCTTGTCACGCCCCGCGAACCTCGCAATCGGTAGCATATGATGACGAAACCTACATTTCGGAATTCCTGCATCCTTGCACCTCCCGTACCCCAATGACACTTCGCTCCATGTACGTTTGTTTCCCAAAGATTTATGTTGCGCCAGCTTACTGTTACCGTTGTTGCTGATGTCGCCGCCGTCGCCGCCGCCGTCGTCGTCGTCGTTTCGTTTTTGCTCCTGGTCCTATATAACACATATACGTATATATATATATATATATATATATATATAGATATACATACAAAAAATATATATTGTTATTACTATTGTGATTTATATATATATATATACATACATATAAAGCTATGGTATACCCCAAAAGGGCCATGAACCATTCCCGAGGCTGCCGGGCATCTGATTTTACAGCTCGCAAACCCACAAAAAGGCCCGTCGGGTAGCCAGTCGCGAAGCCAAGGCAGCGTAAAGCACCTTAGCAAGCAAAACAAAGCAAAGCAGATACGCAGAATAGATACGCAGAATGTCCCGATTCCCAAATGACCATCGTTGATCGTCAGGCTTCTCATATTCCACGACGACAAAGCTATCTTCTGACGCCCCACACAAGCCTGCCCCAACTAAATTTTAGCTCACAACATCTCACAACTGTAACCTCAAGGTTCGTCTCTCGAGGGCTGAAAAAGAAGAAAGGCACACAGTCAGTCTGAAACGACAAAGTTATGTGACAGCGAGCGGCCGCGTGGTTCCGTCTTTGACGTGGTCCCGCACCAGGAAAGCCTCAGCCGATGCTTGAGCTCGGAATGCACAGGTGCAAGAAGCCAAACCTCGCGTTACTGGAAAAGGGAAGGGAAGATAAAGCTGCATGGCATATTTCCTGCTCAACCTAGGCGCAATCCTGCCTCGGCCCCTACTTCCTATGCACTGGCCAAGGACACGCGCAACCCAAATAGCTGAACTAGCAGCATCAAACATGACAACAGCGAACACACGAGAGTTCAGACAGGAGTCATCAAAGGTCTTCTTGATCTGCTCAAGCTGACCTCATTTACAGTGCGCATTGCCACGTACAACGTTGCAAGGTGCACTCTGGAATTCTGCGTCATTCTTAGCAAGCTAGTCGAGACAGCTGCAATAAAGAAAAGCGTGCGTAGACGAGATCCGATGCTTTCGGGGCATCTCAAAGTACAACGAAGCTGCAATGGATCTTCTGCGGCGGAGTTGAAATGATCGTGCCCAGCAGAACTGCACTGCCACGCTAGCGGACAAGTCGCAAGAATCGTCATCCCCGAAGGTGCTGAAGCCCCGGTAGTTCCTGCCGCTTCGCCATGCAAAATGGGGTTAAATGGGTATGATATCGAGCTTCCGCATGCTGCATCCGTGGCAGTCCCCGCAACCCGTTCTGCTGCATTGCGTGCTTACGCAAATCGATCCAAGAGCAACATAGAGCAACTATAGAAGTTCAGAGCCTCAGTCTCTTTAACCTGCTCAGGCCTCAGGAGCTGCAGTAACGAGGATGGTGCAGCGTCCATCCACGCTCGAAAAGCGGGTCTATATGGTCCGAAGTCTTGTACAGGCTGGGCTTCGCTAAACCGGGTGCAGTGACGTACCGTCCCATGACCAGTCATGAACAGCCGTCCAGCCTACAGCTTTGTGATAATATCGACTGCCGAATTTGCCGTGTGTAGGTCTGAGCAGCACTTATCTCCATGCCCTTTCCATCTATATTGATCTGCATGCTGCGGCTTGAGACCTGACAACCGCGGTTTCACTCTTGCCAGCCTGTGTCAGGAAAGACATGGCCAGACGGCGCTGTCATGAAGCTGGGATGGCGGAATCATGCGTCCGCCCTGTTTCCGTGACGTGAGGGGGGGGGGGGGGGGGGCCTTCATTGTATGGTTCGCACCTGTCTGGTCTGTCTGGCCGTCTTGCCGAAATCGCCCTTGAAAACTACTGCAGGACAACGCAGCATGGACCCTTAACTTTTGCACTGCACAACACCCGCAGTTCCCAAAGCATGATGACGCTCTGAGATGTTTGAATGATCTGGGTGCCACACTCGCCTTTCTTCAACTTTTGCCATGTCAATGGCCTCTCTTGTGCAGGTGAGCCTAAACTGGGCACAAGACAACAGCAACCGTAGTCTCTTCTACTGCAAAGATTTGATGCTACCGCTTCGGCTTGATGTTTGAGAAGCCTCCACCCCGCAAGAATAGTAAAGTATCTTAGGACCCCGGACCCCCATAAATTGATTGACTCCCCGCACAGGGGGGGCAGTCAGCGAAATCTTGTGCACAAGAATCGCGTTAAGCTGATGCTCTTCGGAGGTAAGTGGAGGAATGCATCTGTGCAGCCCCCCATGGCTGGCAAAGTGCCATGCAGCTACTCCCTGAAAGCAACTCGGACCCTGCCCCCTAAAAAAAAACGAAAAGCCTGATCCGAGTAGTTCATGCCTTTGTCCCAGGCCTGTGGGCATGAACCGGCGGGAACAAGCTGGGCGAGAGAGAGAGAGAGGGAGTGAGCCGTGCGTGCATACAACCCGAAACCCTGCCAAACCCTAATCCCGAAGTTGAAGGAGGTTTGACTACTTGCGGAGGCCCACTCGAGACTACAAATGGGGGAAGCAACAAGAGGCCAAGATGCAGAAGACTCTTTGACGGGTGCTCCCTTCCCTGTCCGCACCATGGGGGCTGAACCCTATGTATATGTAACATATGCATGCATACTTTTATGTATGCACACAAAGCAGCGCCCCACCCCATAGTGGCTTTGTGCATCTGACTCAAGGTGTTCACACATAGGGTTTAGGTCTTGGCTGCCTGCATGAGGAACATCATCCGCAGCTGCCGAGCCGAGTGCATGCCCAGGGCTTGGCGAATCCTCTGAAGTTCGACTCGGGAGTTGGGACGCGGAGTTCGAGAAGGGGACGTTTGTAGTCTGTTTTTGGGGGTGGGGGTGGGGAAACGGGGGGGAAAGGAGCGGGGGCAAGGCTCTGGGAGGGGGGTTTAACATCTTTCGTTGAAAAGCTGACTCTGCCCAAGGAGCGTGATGAAGTTCTTCAGGGACTTTGACATCTTCAGGCCTGCTCATTTTGTGCAAGTTCGTGCGTATGTCTGTGAATGAAGGTCTTTATTCTCACCCGCAACATGATCGCATGCGTAAGATCGGTCTACTTCGACATGCAGCCCGGATCGTCTGGCTTACCGGGTGGCGGCACAGTTGCAGTGCATGGTGAGCTGTTGTAATTGGCAATGGGATGGTGGGCCGGGGCCTTCGATGTGTAGATGGCCAGCATGCCAGAAGTAGTTCACCCACTGGGATCTCTGCAAGTAGGCTTCCTGACGAGCGAATCCAAGCACGCCACTCTGAAATACATTACTTTCCGGCTGTTCTCCCTTTGACTGGCATCGAAGACAAGCCACTGACTGCGCCATCTCGTTGTCGTGATGCCTGAAATGATCCACGCCCCGCCCAAACCCTTAGCCTTGTGGATATCGGTTTGGTCGGCGTGTTCTTGATCCCCTCAAACCTGCGATAGCATCAAAACCTTCTTTTCAAACAGCCCTGTAACGCTGCTGGCTCAGCATCCAGCATTGTGATGCACCCTCTGACTGTAGCATGAAAGCGTCAGACTCCTGTGGAAAGGGCGACAAGTCCCATACCTCCAACACGTTCACGCATCCGAGCCGAGACACGGGAACTTTAGGTCTTCACCTTGGGTGGATGAGCGGTTTTCTTCTGCGGCATGTTGTATCTCTACGGCTTAACCAGTCAATACCCAGAACTCTTCAGAGGCCGCCTCAGGAGGAGCAAACCCAACGGCCAACAGTTGGTGCATTACAAATTACAACAACTGCCCTGAAACATTGTACGCTCCTCACTACACTTCTTGTTTGCCGCGTCAACCCAAAGCTTGCGTTTCCAAGCCGTGGTCAGCTGGCGCCGCTTCCGGCAAAACGGACGCCACGAACTTTTGAAAACCCTTGGAATTTAGGCCACCAGGAAGTTCATGTGAACCCGATGAACGATCACGTCTTCAACCGCGGCAACAACTCTCCACGTGATGCGAGCCAAACCAAGCCCTTGCACGCCATCACTTGCTGGCCCAGGCGTCCACCAGCATGAATATCAAGGTACTCACCGTTGATATCCGTGGCCATGACAGAGCACTCTATGTGCCAACCTTAGACATTAGGTAGTAGATACAACAGGAGGACAGAGTGCTTTGGATCTCGCGGCTTTGCTTCCAGAGAGCCCTGCTCCAACCTCATGGCGCATGTGAAAAACTGCATTTGAAGGCAATGGCTGCAAGATCCGAAGCAGGGCAGTTCGGCCTACACAAAGCAGGAATCCCAGGCTCACAATAGGCCCTTGAGTTTTTGAATTTGGGACAATCTCAGCTGCGAAGCCGGGGCGTCCAGGGCCCCACTTGCTGTCCTGCAACGCAGAGAAGTGGGGCCCTCTGGAGTTCGACAAGCGACGCAGCTGCTGTCATGAGGACTCAGCGATGTACTTGCCCGAGCTATGGATCTGGGATCTTGATTCATAACATTCATACAAATATACAGCCTCCTAAACTCCCAACATCTCCAAAACTCAAGCCCTAAACTCCCAAATGCCCCAACACAGCGGTCCCAAGCTGGCTCACCCGGCTTCGACTTCCTGGGAGGAGTCAGAGACAACAAACACCTATGAAACATCAGCTTCAAACTGCTGGACGCACAGTAGCCCTCAAATCCCTCAGGTCCCGCATCGCACAAACGTCGTCCCACCCACAGAGCATCCTGATGATCCGGAGACAGGAAATGCTAATACTGTATCTCCGCAATTGTCGAATACCAGCTGTGCAGCACGAGACAACCCACAAAATCAAAGAACCGTTTTAACATCGGGCCTAGACCCGAACTACACACCCCCAGAGAATGAAGAAAAAACTGCCACCCCAGCGGCTTCCAAAGAGCAAAGTCGTTGGGGCTCCGCTTCTCGGCATCCTCTGCGGCCAGAGCGCCCTCGCCTTCTTCCATCTCCTGCAAAATGGGCTTGGGGAATTTGGGGAGTTAGTTTAATTAATTGGGGCTCCCATATTATATATTTCGTTTAGGGGATTTCTAAATTGAAATAACAGACTAGTACTATGAGACCAGGGACTCCGTTGGAGGTTGCTTTTGCCACAGTCATGGTGGCTTGTTAGCGGGCTACCCAGGGCCAGCCTTCGCAGTTGCGCACAGCGCAGGGACGAGCTTCCTGCCGCAGGGTGTCAGAAGGCTCTGCTCAGACTTCCAGGGCCCAACCAGTTCTGCTTCCTGCTCTCCGCGCTCCAGAGCGAGATGCAGCAAGGAGCTTGCCCAAAGAAATGCCCCTAAACAACACTGACTGCAGCCAGGCCTGTAGTGGTAGCCTTAGTTATTCAAGGTGGAGATCACAGCCAGGATGGGCGCGTACGCAAATTGCAGACACATGTCTTGGTTGCTCTGACTCTAACCCTAAGCCCTAGAAACCACTAATTGCCCTTCGAAGAAGCCCCAAGCCCAAAAACTGCCAAACAAACTTCAGCAAAACCTAAACCATCCTAAGCCCAACAGCAGTTCCGGAGGCAGATAAGGGTGGAGCGGGGGGAGCGGGGGGTCTGGGGGGTAACTCTAGGGCCGGCTGAAGGTGGTCTGATTGGAGGAAACATAGGAAACACGATAGTGCCGGCTAAGCAACCCATCTTCTGGAAGGAGGCGATGTCAAAGTAGACCTGATCTCAAAAGGCGATCACTGGTCTACTCATATACTCTTTATACTCATATCATCCATGCATGAATGCACTTACTTGCGTCTCCGATCCGTCTGCTCTACAACCACCATGCAGCAGGGGCGCGCTGCCGGCAGAGCCATAGGCAACTCCCATCCTGGTCAGGACACGCATCCCACATGCTTTGTCTAACTCCACTGTGTCATCCTGGCTACCCTTGCCATTGCGCTTTCTCCAACAAATTTGTCCAGGGCTTAAAAAATGACCAAGATTTCAAAAAAATCCAGCATAGAAGCAACAACCCAACCTCGGGAGCAAGAAATAGCTGTGCCGGTCAACCAAACCTCACCAAGGGTCTCTTCTAGCTTCTCAATAAACTTCTGCACGCGGCCGTCCATGTACTCTGTGATTCGAGTCCTTGTAGCTCACATGATCCGGCATGTGAAGCTGCCCTCTTTCACGTGACACCAACGCGGGCACCAAGCTGTATGCAATCAAAGGGCACTACATCCGGCCGCAGAATTCCCAGAGCGTCCATGTCTTCAAAGTACTCCTTCGGAAGTCAAAGAAAAGTAAGGAGGGTTACTTGCACGGCAAACGGGGGGTCACTTTAGCGTACTTCCCGGCTCGTTCAAAGATATTCGAACCCTGTGCTTTTTGTGGTCCACCCAGTCCAGGACACCACGTCAACCAAAACTTGCTACAGTAACCCAAAATCTGCCAGAGCAGATTCACCCCACAACATCTTCCTTCTACCGAAAGTGCGGAACCCTGCACCAGCAGCCAGCCGCCCAAAAATGATTCCCTCCCTGTTGTGCACATGTGCGTTGGTTGATTTGCAAAAGTTCTTAAGGTCGTACCTGCCACAGCTGTACGCAAAAGCCCTGCTCACACCCGGCTGTGCTCCTTCTCGAAGTGTCGACCGTGCGCATCGAAAATGGAGTGATCGGACACCGTGTGACCTGCTCATGTGGGCAAAGCATCAAATTGGAATTTACAGAGTTGACAGCATGCAACCACGAGTCTTGCCAGTTGAGACACTGCTCGCTCCATCTTTCATCCTATGCTCCCCTCGCCCTTCCAACCCCCTTTCGCAGCGCGCAGGACGGCCCACTCTGCAGGCCTCGCTCCTTATCCAGCTTCTCCTTCCAAACCAGTAAAATGCTGAACATTGAAAGATGCTGGGCTCCCGATTTGGGTCCTGTCTCGGTCTCTCTCCTCTTCTTCTTCTCCACCTCTCTCTCTCTCTCTCTCTCTCTCTCTTCTTCTTCTGCTCAGCGAAGAGGCCTCTCTCTCTCTCTCTCTCTCTCTGTCTCTCTCTCTGACTATACGTCTGTCTGAGGCATAGCTACAATGTAACTCCTTCTGATCTGCTCTAGCCTCCACGAGGGTTGTTCTTCTGCTCGCTTTAGAGGCCCTCTCCGTGCCCCGAGGATCTCTTCCTTCCTTCCTTCCTTCTTTCCTTCAGGAGCATGCAACACCCCGAGGGGGGCCGCCCTAAGGCCGTGCTCGGTGTGAGACATATACCCAAACACAATGTGGCGCTTCACCCCCCCCCCCATGCTAATTCCTAACACAATACTCCAGGATCAGCAACCCTGTGTGTGACGACTCTTGTTCAGGCAAAAAGATATGTGTTCGACACCACTCCCAGGCATTGTTCGCGGAAGTATAAGATTGGCAAGTGATGGTTTCAACTCAACGACGGACACGAACCGCGACTGCAGGGCTACAGGTACAGAGGATGTACCTAACCGTGTTGAAGTATGTGTGCCATTGCTTGCTACTCCCGAGCGGCTACAGCAGGTCTTGGGGGTATACTGACCTCCCGTCAACTGACAGTTATCCCTGTTTGCCGCAGATGGCACAAAGTCATGGTGGACGGAAGCACTTAAACAACCGGGGTGAAAATGTTGAAATGTCTTGCCATCGCAGGCTGCTCCCGAGCTTCATTGCCAGACCATCTCACAGCCAAGGTTGTTTCACGGGGTTCTATCTGGCCACAGCGCACATGGCTTTGCGAGCTTGCGGATTTTTGAAAACTGAGGCGTGAGAAACGACTTAGGTGCTAACTGACGGGGTCTTTTCTTCCTTTCTCGGGGCTTTGGGACGACCCTCGCGTCAGGGAGCGCCCCGAACTCGTAGGGTCTCTCTCTCCCTCCCTCTCTGAGGTGATCTTCTGTCGCAGCACCAAGCCTACCCTCAACCAACTACACACTGACATCCTGGACCCCGAGCCCAAAGACGGACTCTACTGTAGCGGCTCTAGCGCCGAGCACGCGTGTGACCACTCCAAGGCCCGGAAGACCTAAGACCGAGCCCCCGAAGCAGCCATTGCAAATCTGATCCCCATGTGCCCGTGTCCATCAGCACGTCCCGCGCGGTTGCCAGAATCAGGCTGCTCTTGCCGCTTTCGAAGGCCGCCTGCCACAACAGGTCTGGACAGTTGGCTTCCCACCCGCACCCGGTCCACGCATGTCCACGTTGTGCGATCCCGACTGAGGATGCCCAGCGCCGGGCGGTTTGAGAAGCTTGGATGCCGTAAGAAACCCCCAGAGGTTAAAAGCGAAAGAGACCAAACCCCAGCGCTGCCAACGAACAGCTTGTGTGCACACCTCGCCACCGCCATCATCCTAGGCAAAGCCGTTGCTCCACCAGAACCCTATAACGGTGTGTTACCCCAAGGAAGCTCGGATCTCAGATACCTGGATCTTGGACTGCAGTTCTTTGTGCTGGCCAAGCTTGAGCTCATGCTCTGACAGAGACGTGGTGTACTCCTCCACGACAACATGATGGCTGAAGAGCTGAAGGCTTAAGATCCACAAGGTTGATTTGATGGTTTAGGTTTCAATCTCACCGGGTGCAGGATGTTTGCGGCTCTTCGCAGGATGTTTGTGGCTCTTCGACTGAGCTGACAATCTTGAATTCCTTAATTCTTTCGGCTAGGAGGTCTTTGCAAGGAAAGTTCTTGAGATCTTGAAGGCGTACTGGGTCAACACTGTTCATCGCAGAGGAAGGAGCCATGAGCCCTTCCACACAGCTCTGGCTTGATGGTAGCCAACAAGATGGGTCAGCTCGGTCCCTAAGATTTAGGGTACCCACATGTACTAGAAAAGATTTGTGAGCTATAAACGCTGAAGGGGCAAGATGAGGCAAGATTCTGCCACTGGCGTGTTTCCTGCGAGGTTTTTTGCACCTAGAGGTCCTGTCCTGCTGGTCCTTGGCTGGAGCATCTGCTGCCGGCTTCTCTGGCGCCTTCCTCCAGCTAAGCGTCGTGGCAAAATGGGTGCAAATCCGCACATATTCTGCGATCCCATGCTTGCGATCCCAAAGTGCTGGGGTGTACGGCTTGCCCGAGCCTCTGGGTTTCAGGTGAGGGGATGTCGGGGCTTAGCAGGGACGCCCCCAGAGTTTCACTCAATACATGCAGCTTTCGCATGCTTCTTGCTCATGACCACGCAAGCTGTCCAAACAGGTCGATAACGATACCCCGCCACCCCACATTCTCTATTTCATATAGTTTAACCCCTTAACACCCACAATCCAAAGCCACAAACAAGCGGAGCATCTTTTCGAGCTTCTTGCCCTTCAGGTCGACTGCCTCGGTTCGCGCCGGCCATGATCCGCAGAGAAACATAGTTGCTCGAGTTTTCCTTTAGGAGTTAGATTCATTTGGGCCGTCTTGCCGTAGGCTGTGCTGAGTTCTGTCCCTCTTTGTCCTAGGTGTGGGGTGACGGAGGCGAAAGGCAACACAACCACATGCTGCAAACAAAAGTCTAAGGAACACATATGCAATATAAGTGCATAAAGCATATCGTCTTGGTTGTCAGGCTTCAACCTGAGAAAGGGGTGCAAAGGGCCCAGGCACAGGCACAGGCACAAACACAGGCACAGGAGCGAGAGAGAGGGAGCAGCACATGACATCACATGCACACATGCACACACGCACACACGCACACGTGCACCCACGCACCTACGCACGCACTCTTTCTCTCACCTCTCTCATACTCCTACACTCGCTCATTCACCGCACTCTCTCGCTCTCTTGAGGTCATGCGGGCCCTGATTGCCGCAAAATTCGGGAAGCCCGGACCACCGGACCAACTCCCGCCAGCATGCCGTGTTCACCACTTGCTTCAGCTCATCCAGCTTCATCTTTGCGGCTTCCTAGTCGCACGGACTGTTGCGACCCGACTCAGTACATGGCTCTGCTTCTAGTTGTGCAACGCACGCGGCATGAAGTGAGTAGTCGAGACGCACATATGCATCTTGAATGCTGTCGTGTTGTCAAGTCCCGTATTCTGCATCGGAAGCTCCCATCTAGCCACAGTGAACAGCTACAGCGTGCCATGCAAGCTGTTTCCCGGTTCTGAGACGCCCCATGATGACCTCGGTTTCGCACCCCACCGCCTTTGAGAAGTCGTCGAAAAGCTTGTTCTGCCGGGCTCGCAAGATGATCTTGTCATCAATATCGGTGATGTTAATCCTGGGTCGCTTCTTCTCGCGCGTCAGATGGCATCGTGTGGCAGGTTTCGGGGTCTGAACTTCAACGCACTAGCTGGAGAATGATGACTTCGCGCTGAGCAATGATGTTCAAGAGTCGGCATTCCTCGACACATGAGCCTGTTCAACATTCGGACTCAACAAGGCAAATAATGCTACGTGACTGAATCTGACTTTCGTAACTTGGAGCCCTATGAAAATGGGACACTCTTGAATGCGAAGCTGCCAAACAAGCTTACATTTGAAGACGAAAGTAGATGTGCGACAGTTCTAGTTCTAGTCGTTGGAGCTTCAACGCAAGCAGGCACCAGTAGGCTTGACTCGAGCCAAGCAAGTGTCTGGTACTTCACGTCGAAGCCCAAATAGTTCACCATTATTCCTGACACCACAGAGGGGGTTCTGGGGCTCTGTGCCCATGCCCAGCTTGAAGGTGAATCTTCATGCGAAAGACTACATGAGGGCTCGAATGTGTTTGTGAAGTGAGTACGTACTCAGAACTAACCCATGCCTTTATTGAAACTAGTCCCCGGACTCAAAATACACTCTCATCTCCAAGCCAAAAACAACTCCAAAATAACATGATTCTGAGACATTTCGCGTTTTCGTTTTGCCACCGACCTGCCTAGCACTGTTCCGTGGGGAATACTGGGGTGAAGGGACAAACCAACTCAAGTAGCCATTTTCTGAAATGCGCAAAGGCCAACGACCCTAATCCACTGCATAGGTTTTCTAAAACAAAGATACCATGCAGGAGTTCCAGTCGCCAAGACGCTCCGGAGGATGTCGAAGGTCAGGTATGCTCGGGCGTGCCCCATGTGAGCCACATCGTAAACCTCAAGATCTTGACGTTTTAAGGCATCGCCCATGCTTGCTCATGTTGGCTCGCAGCCAGGTCTGGCTTTTTGAGGCATTTGGGAGGTCTGGGGCAGGCTTCCTTGAAGCACGATGGACAACAACCTGCATCGAACCCCAACTGCGTATCTGGATGCCTTGTGTCAGTTTTGGGTGAGAACTGCTACAGGTATGTATTGGCGCTGTATTGGCGCACTTCGAGAATTGGACCTTTAGGATTGCCCCCCCCCCCCCTCCCTCCCCGGTCCGCCCTCGATGGCTTCGCTGCCATGGCTGCTCATTGTGCTCACGAGCCACAGGGGTTAGGCGGCTTTCGACACGGAGTCAAGGCTTCGACAGTCTTCGGTGTAGGTGCAAAGTTAGAGGACACGAACTAAGGTCAAGTGCCAAGGATACCCATGAAGCAGCATCTGCATTTGCGGCCGAGCTGCAGTAGGACCGCAGGTGTACCAAATGACCTTCTTGTCCTTTGTCGGTTCAAGGTCGGGGCTTTCAGGATTTGGTGGCCCAGGCTCTTGATCCAGTGCAGTCTTTTGAGTGGTAAGTACATTTCCCGCTTCGTGCAGAACTACTAGTACGACTACGAGGACGATGACGACGATGTCGCCCGTGCCATGGAACCTCGCCGTCTTCGCTTGAGAACCACACAGCCCTGCGCGGTGCCTGAAGGGGTCTGAAGGGCTCCTTCTCCCCAGTCAGGCTATTCATGACCTGCACCAGGTGCGTGGCTTCAAGGGTGTGGGGGACATGCAAGCTTTTTGTGCGAGGACTGCAAGCGGCGGCACTGTAGAATCTACTGGATGTGCTTGGCCGGGCCCGGACCGGAAAACCAGCAAAGAAGCCGCAAGACCGGTGCTGGCACCTGCAGCCCAGCATTGTGGCCGGCCTGAGAGGCTGACAGCCGTGCCCCATAGTGCCCCTGACCCGCCTGTGTTCAGGGTCCAAAAATGTCCAAAAAACCTAAGGGGGACAGAGGGCTGTGGGAGGCCACGATGATGTGCTTGAGCCGCCTTAAGCAGAAAGTACCAATAAATAGCAATCGTAGTCTTGCGAATTCACAACCTTGATCGTCGGAACTGCCGACCATGTAGACACCAAGCAAACTGGGCACTTCACCCTCGAAGTGCAAGCAAAACTCCTCCGGTAGCATGCCTTTTTTGTCACCAAGCCCAGAGAAACCAACCCTCAATCACACGGGAAAAGGCCCTAGACTTCCGGAAGCACCCAAGAAAATGGAGTCCAGGCACATTGGGCACCAGCCATGGCGGGTGGGATCCCTTCGTCACCGCCGACCTTCAGAAGCAACCCCTATCGACGGCCACCCTACACCTCAAAGCTAGAATGGTGAATGAAGTGCTCAGGGCACAAAAGACCCCAAAACATGTGCACCCGGGGAGCCATGTAAGGCTCGACAACAGCGGTCGCGAGATCTTTGTGCCATCGTGGTGAGTATTATAAGTTGGCTATAAGTGCTCTTCCATCATATGTTGACAAACGTTTGTCGGTGATGCACTGTTGCCACCACCAGCCTCTCAAAGCCTTTTCCCAGAAGGTCCTTGCCAAAGCTGCTCTTTGCAGTCGGAGATGGCGACTGCCAGGAAAGCTGACATTGGATCATGTGGGACGGAGTGTGGGGCCCGGTGTGGATCCCTTTGCAACCAATTTAGCGCCGTACATGAACAACAACACCTAAGCCACGTGTTCATCTGGAGCCCATGAAGTACTACAACAAAGTTGGCTCTAGAAGGAGATGTCGGGAAAAGTGGAACCAATGTTTTTGAAACACCGTCTCCAAGACCTGAAGCCAATAAATTCCACAACTTCTACGACTGTCCCCCCAAGCTTTCACCGCATGCTGGCAAACAGCCTCTGCCGCGGGCGCCTTTGGGGAAGCAGTGCCATTGCTTCGGCCATCCGTCCTGGTGGGGCATGGGGCTGCGACGGACACGGCAGGGGTGGGCCCGGGAAATGTCCTAGCAGGCGAGCTTAGGACTGCCGTTGGGTTTGTTCCGAAAGGATCGTCTGGGTTCGAGTTGCAATGCCAGTACACAGCAATGTGGGATCTGGATGGTTTGAGGCTTTGGGGGAACTGGTTCCTCTTGGCCCCCCCCCCCCCTCCAAAAAAACAAACAAAATGAGCCGGTTACGTTCGCTCCGGGGTGTTAGTCGTCTATCATTCCGGGGCTGTGCACTGAAGCAAAAGCCTTCCCCGGCCTACCGAGGCCCACCGCTGGACCAGAACGGATGTCCAGGCCAACCTGATTCAGCAAACCTATACTACTGTGTAAGTACTCAAAAACCACGGCTTGTCATCGCACGGTGCTTCGTATGTTGCGACTCGGCATGAACGACCCTCGTGAAACTTGACGCCGAGACACACGCATAGCCGATCCAAGGATCCCAAGGCGACAACGCCAACGAGAATCGCGATCCAGACACAAACACGATCCCTGTCTGACTCATGAGCCGAGGATCCCCTAACGACGACAGGCGCATTTCTTCTTTCGAGGCGAAGGCCAAGTGCTAAAATGTTGGGTCTATTGTGAGATTGACTTGATCCAACTATGCCAGCAGCCAAAACAGTCAGGCAGCGCCTGCTACTTGACGGAAACAACTACACGAATTGATGAAAACGGGGCTTCTGCACATTTCCTCGCGGCGCTTGGCAGGCGCTGAGGCGACGATTTCCGAGAGAGAAAAAAACCACCAGACCCCCCAACCCTCCGAGAAAATAGTGGCTGATGCAGGGTCATGGGCAAGTCTATACAATTGTGAAGCATTTCCGCCTCCCCAAGTTCCCTCTCTATAGTCATGCCGAGCACACCATGAGGCTCCTAAGAAGTTGCTTCGCTGAAACAGCTTGGATGCCTTCTTCAGGTAGCCAGCGTCCATCCTCACTCGCAGCCGCTGAATCCTGCAGCAGTGGTAGCAGCGGCAGCAGCAGCAACATCGGATCAACGTCATGCGCGAGATAGATGTAATGTAGAGGCCTGGCTGTAGAAATCAGGTAGTGACAGGTAGTGAATGTCACCAGCGGCATGAGACCCAAGCCTTTCCCCGAAGTCCTTCACAAAACCGCGGTGTGGGAACAACCCACGCTGATGGGGAAACTGTGCTCAGAGCCGGAGCATTTGTTCAGCTGCGGGCGGGAAGAGCGGCTCTGTGGCAAGAGTGCTGCAAAAGGACTATCACCAAATCGGCGAACACCTACAATCATGACGGGGACAGGACTGCCGCAGCTGGTGTGATCATGTTCGACATCTGTCAATTAAATGCCTGTTCCCCAGGCACAGTCTGGCACAGCAAACCGAGATGGAAAGGGAGTGTCAAAGCCCACTCATCACACGCCGAAGTGGACTTATGATAATAGCTCTTCCAGATGTGTAGGATGCAAACGTCAACGCATGCACGCACGAATGTCCGAGCATATGCCCACAAGGAAGGATTGACACAACAAGGCGACTCATGTGTCAACGGCTGCAAGTAGCACCGAAGGGTCTGCAGTTTTGTGTTGTCTAGTGCTGCACTCTTCAGGAACCAAAGTCAGGAACTAAAGTTCAGGGCTTACCGAAGAAGTTCACTGCTTATCCAGCACAGGCCACAGGCAAGAACCAACAAACCCAGGACTACTCTTAATACAATCTGACAAGAACCCGAGGCCCGCAGCGCAGGCGATCTACTGATCTCTCCAGCCATGCCCAAGAATGGCAACCAAATGTCGATGGGTTCAAGAAAAAAAGCCACAAAAAAGCCACATCAAACCCGCCAACTGCTGCATGTTGCGACGTGCTTGGCCATGGAGGCGTCCATGCCAAAGCGGGTCTCACGGGCAAGAAAGTCCCATGTGGATACCACGGTTGTTCACCCTCCGGAACTGAAACCAGCTCAGGGACTACCCACGTAGATTCAAAGTAGGAACGTCAATCCTCCTATACCCTCCTATACCCTCCTACCTCGACGACTCGATAAGTTGTGGTATAGGCTGCTGGCTTTGTGGCTTGCAGTTGCAGGCCTGGTCAGGGCCTGGTTCAGCAGCCACACCTCGCAGGTGCTGCGGGCAGAAGCATGCAAACCCGCCTGCCAGTGCTTGCAGGAACGACCTACAGCTTCTGCAGCACAGTGCAAGCAGGGAGCTGGACAAAGGAGGACGAGGAGGAGCAGAGATCTTCTGGCCACACAAGGTTGCCAAACGCCTCAACATGGAGTGACCAAGCCATAAATTCTCAACCGACGTGGGAGGCAATGGCATGCTGTATCCTTTGTTTTGTAGCCAGGTGGCTCTTCAGCACACTATTGAACCCTATGTGTCAGCCAACCCCTTCCATGGTACAGATATCTCCGACCCTGCGTGGTGGGTGTTTGTTGCCACCAAAATGGTCACAAAGGGAAAATCGACACACACACACACACACACACAGAGAGAGAGAGAGACACACACACACACACACACACACACAGTAACAGAGAGACACAGAGAGACACAGAGAGACACTCAGAGACACACAGAGACACACAGAGACAGACAGACACACACACACACACACACACACAGACACACAGACACACAGACACACAGACACACAGACACACAGACACACAGACACACAGACACACAGACACACAGACACACACACACACACACACACACACACACAGAGACACACGCACACACCCACACACACACACACACACACACACACACACACACACACACACACACACACACACACAACATACCCTCATGCGACAATTCGTCGCCTGAGCCATGAGACAGGCGAGGAAGCTAAGGAAAACAATCTCCCGGTCTCACTCGCGTCGGCCTTTTCCCGTGGCTTTGGCCATGGAGCCATGTGAGCCGCTCGCCGGGCTACCACACTTTTGAGGGAGCTTTAACTGGAGGAGTCCCAAAAGCAGTGTGGTTGCCATTGTTTTTCTTTTTTCCTTTTTTGTTTTTGGGGGAGGGGGAGGGGTGGGGGTTCTATAATGAGGATTCTAGTATTTGGGGGCGTATATCAGGGGTGCCTCATTTTGCGAAATGCACATGTGAGCTTGAGGTTTGGGGCTCCAAGCTACTCCTCACATTTCCAGGTGTTGCAGCTTCCGGGTTAGTGTATGGCCTTGTGGTGCAGCTTCTGGCTGTTAATGTTTGAGGGCTTGGGGCAACCTGGTTCTTGAGAGGCGTCCTACGGCCATCGTTACTAGCATAGACTGATCCTTGGTTCGCTTTACCACCTCTGATGACATAAGCGGAGCGGTTCAGGCCACAAACCTCAAGCTCCACTCTACTTCCGACAACGATGTGCAGAAGGCATCGTTTATGGTAGCGCAGGAGAGGTTGCAACTGGCACACGTGCATCCCTCGTCTTTTTGTTTGCAGCTTCTCAGCTGCCCATTTACGGGCCGCCTGGCTGCTTTCAGACCTCATTGTTCGCTACCTTGAAGATATAGTCCCAGGCCTCCCGAAATTCCGTTCAGCAGGATGCGGTAAGACGGTATGACACAGTCTAAACAGCAGGCGGCTTGCAGAATTCGCACCAGAGGACGCATAAAGCGCCCAGCAGCAATGCCTACTTCCTACACCACGGCCCCCCTCCTCTGCTGGAAGAAGGACGGTGGCCTGTGACCAGTGCGGAGGTTCTTATGGTTTCTTTGGAAAAAAGACCTCAGCATATTGGGCAAATGGGTCACGGGCTTATCAAAAGGTGTTTGCGAGCCCAGAATGCCAAGCCCATGACCACACCCTTGAAAGCCCAAAACCGGCGATTTCTTGTTGAAACAGATGTCTGGCGATCTTTCGAAAGGAACCACCCTCATGTCGCAGGCTGCATGCATATATATATATATATATATATATGTATATATATTTTTTTTTCGGGGGTTTCTGTTTCATCCCCCTATTCAGTCTCCACCTGCTTTGCTTAAACCAAAGCCTGGGGCAGTATGGCATTTGACACCTACTTGTGGGAATGGTCTGGAATTCAGCGGCGCCCAAACTAAACCCGTGATTGCCATCGTTCTGCTTCTCAGGCCGTCACGACAATGCCGCCTCTACCACTCCGACGACTGATACCGGCGCTGTTACCGCCACTACCACGAATTCACGAATCGCGAGCACATGGTGGTGGTTTGTTGTAGTAATGGAGGAGGAGGAGGAGGAGAGGAGGTGGTGTCTGGCCGGGCTTCCCGGCACAAAGTCCCAGCAAGGAGACGGTTGCCAGCTGTCCTCAGGCGGCGTTCTGAGGGAAGAGCGTGTTTGTTTTTGTTTGTGTTGTGCTTGTGGTTGTGGTGGATGTGGTGGATGTGGTGGATGTGGTGGTGGTTTGGTTGTTGTTGTGGTTGTTGTTGGTTGTTGCTGGTTGTTGCTGGTTGCTGCTGGTTGCTGCTGGTTGCTGCTGGTTGCGGTTGGTTGCTGTTTTCTTGCCGTTGGTTGCTGTTGGTTGTTGGTTGTTGGTGGCTGGTTGTTGGCTATTGTTTGTTGTTGGTTGTTTGTTGTAATGTTGTTTGTCATGTGCTTTTCTTTCTCGCTCTCTGGCTCTCTGGCTCTCTGGCTCTCTGGCTCTCTGGCTCTCTGGCTCTCTGGCTCTCTGGCTCTCTGGCTCTCTGGCTCTCTGGCTCTCTGGCTCTCTGGGCTCTCTGTCTCTCTGTCTCTCTGTCTCTCTGTCTCTCTGTCTCTCTGTCTCTCTGTCTCTCTGTCTCTCTGTCTCTCTGTCTCTCTGTCTCTCTGTCTCTCTGTCTCTCTGTCTCTCTGTCTCCCTGTCTCTCTGTCTCTCTGTCTCTCTGTCTCTCTGTCTCTCTGTCTCTCTGTCTCTCTGTCTCTCTGTCTCTCTGTCTCTCTGTCTCTCTGTCTCTCTGTCTCTCTGTCTCTCTGTCTCTCTGTCTCTCTGTCTCTCTGTCTCTCTCCTTCTCTCCTTCTCTCCTTCTCTCCTTCTCTCCTTCTCTCTTTCTCTTTCTCTCTATTTGTTCGGAAGAAAGACCGTCTCCCCTGAGTGCCGGTTCCTCTTAGCAATATTCAACAAAAGGCCCTCTGCAACCTCCGCCCCGCTCGCTGCGGTCTCTAAAACCAAACTTGGAGACAAGAGGCGCTGCAGGCCTACTGGAGTGACATTGTCCTCCCGCACACTTGGTGTTTGGAAACTTGGGGGCTTCTCCAGGTTTCTGTATGGCATTTCTGATTTAGAAAAAGCTCTGAAGTTCACGGGGGTTGAGACGCCAAGCGCCAACATAAATTTCTCGAGGCTTTGGGGCTCCGATTGAAGATTATAACTAAGGACTTTGTTCAGGTGCACGTTGCCAACCCAAAAGCATCTCGTTTGGGAATACTCGTGACTGCGTGATTCTGGCACGCTTGGGAAAGCCCCCTATGCAGTGCTCAGTAGTGCAAGCCAGGAGGACCCTTGAATACTTGGTGCGCAGACACGGGTCAGACCCGAAAGATTGGACATGCCTGCGTTCTATCCTATCCACCCAGCTCACGTCACCCTGCCCAAAACCCTTTTGCTGCCAGAAGTGTGCTCCTGTGGAGGCAGGACCTGTCACGGGAGCCGATGGACAGGCTCTGCTTGGTTGGGCTTCCGAATGGTTGAAAGGGGCTGAGTTCAGAGATGACAGGTCTTCAAGAGATTGTTGGGCTCATCTTGCCTCGCTGCAATGGAGGCCAGACGGGCGTCCCAATGGAAACACTGTTTTTGGCGGTTCTTCTTGGGAGCTTCAGAAGAGTCCTGCACCTGCTCTGCGACTTTCATGGCTTGATTCGGCTTGATGACTCTGGGGCCCTCTTCCGCAAGCCTTGCAGCGCACAATAACGCACTCCGAATCGCAGCCTCGTCCGTGCGCCGGCCGAGGAGTAGCTGAACCATCCAGATCTCAGGGATCTCAGGCTTTGGGTTGGGAAC